TGTACCGCATGCACGTCTTGCACGTTCGCACATACGTCTTGATGTCTTCAAGCATGCTCTTCCACCAGAACCACATCTTGACAGGTTGGCGGCTCGCTCGATGCCTGGGAGCGCTGCTGTTGGTGTGTCGTGATGGTTGTTCACTATTGCCAGCTTCGACTCTCGACTTTCGGGCACACACAGCTGCTTCACCTTGTTCTCCGACATGCGGGAAATCAGTCCATCTTCCGCTGTGAATTTGGTCGTGTCTCCTCTGTCTCCTCTGCCTTCCATTATCTTGGTATAGAACTCATTCTCCTTGAATGCTCGCTCAAACTTCTCTCTCGTGCTCTTCTCCACCTCTGCGTGAAGGTAGTTCGTTCAAAGCACCATTCTCTTCTCTTTTTTGTTTTCTTCGAATCTTTCATACTTTGGTAGGCTCTGCATTCCATATATCAAGCTCATGGCTTACCTCGATACCGAGTTGAGTGTGTCTTTGAACTTCTCCATCTGAATGCATGCCAAATTGATTTCTTGTCTCGACACGGCATCTGCAACTACATTCTTCTTGCCAGGTCGATGAATCAGCTCAAAGTCGTACTCTGCAAAGAAGTCTAGCCATCTCGCCAGTCTTCCTGACGCTAGCGGTCTTGACTTCAGTCACTTGCACGCTGAACTGTCCGTAAACACAACGAACTTGGTTCCGTGCAGATACGGTCTCAATGTTGCATAACACAACTTGATGGCGTACAGCTCTTGGTCATGCGCTGGCCATCTTCGTTCTGCACCGCTCAGCTTCTTGCTGTAGAACGCAATCGGTAGATCTTTTCCTTCAACCTCTTGCGACAACACTCCTCACACGCTAGTTCCAGACGCATCCGTCGAAACCATAAACGACTTTTTGAAAGCTAAGAGTTGCAGCACTGGTGCTTGTTGCAACGCATGTTTGATCTTGTGAAACGCGTGTTGATGGTGATCCCTCCAACCCCATTCCTTGCTCGACTTAAGTAATCGCTGAAAGGCAACACAAAATCTGCGTAGGACGGGATGAACCGTCGATAAAAGCCCGCGAGTCCAAGAACCTCTGCAATTCTTTTGTGCTTGTCGGTGCCGGCCACGCTTTGATTGCCTGCACCTTCTTCATATCTATGTGGACTCCTTTGCTGTTGACGATGTGACCCAGGAAATTGATCTCCTCTGTCCGAAGTGACACTTTTCGCGATTCGCGTACAGCTCGTTCTTTCGCAGCAACTCGAACACTGCTCTCAAATGCTCGCGATGCAGCTCCCTTTTCCGACAAAACACGCAAATGTCATCGAGGCACACGACAACAAATGTCAAATGATAAAAGACAATCCTCATCAGTCGGCTTCAAATGCCTGGCATTCCAGCAAGTCCCATGGGTGCCACGCACCAGTGGTATATTTCCGGAAAGGCATTTGAATGCGGTGTACTATCTTGGGCTCTCAGCGAACCACATCTGATGGTATCCCTTTTGCAAAGCGACTGTCAAGAACGTCGAACATCCCTGCATCTGGTCAAACAGCTCGTTGATCATCGAAAACGGGATCTTTGGTATCTCGCTCGCATTGTTCACGTATCGAAAGTCCTGGACCCATCGAATCGGGCATTCGGGTCTTCCGATCGCTGCCAATCTGCTCGCGAAGGAAAATGGTTTGTCGCGGGATCCTTCTTGGGCACATTAAACATGTTGGATACTCACGGCGACTCGGATAACTCGATCCACTTCAGCAGACTGTCTACGAACTTTTGCAGTGCCTGTCGCTCGACATGCGACAGTCGAAACGGTTGTCGGTTGCTCGGCTTTGCTCCCGACTTCAGCTTGATCTCGACTTGCATATTCCTCTTTAGCGGTAACCTGTCTGGCAAATGCTCTGGAAAGACTCCCTGGAATTCCTCCAGCAGCTCCTTGATCTCTGGCATCGCTTCGTTTTTTCTCTCACTCTTCCGCATCATTTCCCATCCAGATTTTCACATGAAAAACCTGAACATAGTCTTGTTGTCTCAGCTTCCGTCGGAACTCGTTTTCTTTCACCTCTTGGCACTCCGATAACTCTGCGAATGTCACATGGTGTGTCCTCCAGTCGATTGCAGGGTTGTACCTTGCCATTCACGGTTTTCCCAACTAGACATCGTGTGTCCCTGTGTGTTCCCACTCTCGCTATCGAAAATCTGGCCATCCATCTCCAGAGTTAGTTAAACCAGCTGAACAACTTTGAAATCCGTTTCTGTGTCATCAAATGGACTGGCAGTAGCCGAGATCGTTTTCTCGATCCTGACGCTCAGTCCTGGACGAATGAGATTGAAGTGGTTACGGAATCAATCAATATCCTGACTCGCTTTCCGTCACACAAACCCTTTTTCACAATCAGCTCGTCGGCACTCATTCTCGTCAACACCACTTTTGACTGCTTGATCCGCATGCTGGTTGCTTGTGCCTTGCTCAACTGAAATGAATAGGTTTCTGCCTTGTATTCATTCATTTCCACGTGATGCGCTTTCACCACATTCCTTATGTTCTGCATTCGTCTCCTGTTCCTTCGATAATTTACGCTGTGATATCTTCCATGATCTCTTGCATGATATCTTCTCGTGTTCTGGTAACAATCTCGCGATGTATGACCGGGTTTCTTGCACATGAAACACAGATTCTGCTCATAACACTGCTTCTTTCCGATCATCTCATTACAAATCTCCATGTCTTGACTGCCATCGTCGTTCAAAGCACCAATGTGAATCCGATGCATTCTCGGAGGCTTCTTTTGTCCCTCTCGACCTCCATGCTATGGGAAGTAGGCATCTTCGTACGCCTTCACAGCGGCTATGGTTTCTTCCAAATTAGTGCACCTTGTGAACTTCACCATCTTCCGAGTCTGGTCCTTCAAACCGAAATAACACATCTTTTCGATCCAACTCGCTCATTTCTTGAATCTGCCCCATGATCCTCCGATATTTCACAACGTACTTGTCGAAGTTCATCCGTTGTGCGTCCTTCGCCAACTGTCGTAACTATCCCGCAGAATATTCGGGTATCCTCTTGGCACAAACTGAGCATACAATGCTGCTTCCATTCCCTCGAGACTCCTCGCCTCTCTTTCGCTCGCACACATATCATGGTACCAAGCCAATGCGCCTTCTCTAAAGTTTCCCACGACCATCGCCACGATCCTTTGTTGGTTCTCTTCTGCGTACTCGTCAATCACCTTTGCACGCAAATAGTTCTTCAATTGGAACAGAACGTGTGCACTCCTTCCATCGGCTTTTCTGAAAACTGTGGCATGGACAATCCTTCCGCTCTGTCAACCCCTGAAACAATTACCTGGGGTGCTCTTCTTCTCTTCTGTACAGCGCTCTCCTTGTAAATGACTTCACTCTATACGCGTCCAATGGCTTCATTCAACTGACTCTATATCACGCTCGTTTGATGTTCCTGAGCTCTTCTTGACTCGCATGCGCCCTCTTAATTGCGTCTTACATGCCTTCCATATGCCGCATCATGTCTTCTCGCTGCTTCTTCATCGCTCTATCCATCGACTCTTGCTGTTGACTCAGCGCGTACTTCTAACTTGTCGCCATTTGCTCCATCGCGCTCGTCATGCATCTCATCAAGTCCTCCGCACTCAAGGTCGCTGATTACTGGAAATTTGGTTGTTCTCGCTCTATCGCTTGAAACACAGCCAACACAACTAGGTGTTCAGGGCCGAAGGATCTACACGCAATTTCCCCTTAGGTCCTGACCACTTTCAAGTGTCTTGCTTGTGTGCGGATCCAGTCTTGGTCTGGAGTCTTGAGTCGGGAGTCTCGGATCGGACGTCGCTTGTTTGGAACATGGACTGGGATAGTTTGGTTAGCCAACGATAAAGGGTGACGAACAAGTGTTACCAAATTTGACCTGAGCCCTAGGCGTCACGTTCAAGAGTGATCTTTGTTTAGCGTTAAAATCCTGGTTCGGAGAACTTACATCCAGTTCTAATGCTACGTGCACGTAATATGCAATAATATTGGCTAACATGCATTTGTTCCTATCCAATGAGTGTGTTCTGGAATGTCTCCTTCTTGGTTGCGGGAACCTTCTTTTTCTCAAATATTCTAGAACCTCCTTGGATAAATGGTACGCTTGCATGCGACCCCTTAGCTTGGTCACCACCAGCTTGACGTCTCTGCAACATTGACTATTTCGTACTCCTCTCACTTACAAAGAGATTTCTTTCGTCTCTACCCCCATAATGCTAGACGTTTTATATTTGCATTCTCATGGTGTTGTCAGTTGTGCTTTCATCGGCAGTTATTTAGGGCGTTATAGGAAAGCAGTTATCTGACTGGTGAACGGTTTCAGACGATCAAAAGCCGCTTGCATCCTATGTGCGACCAGACGCCTTATCCCCTCTAATGTAATAATGAAAATGGATTGACGTAGCCTGCCCACTTGTTCGATCTCTTGCTATTCCATTATCTCCAATGGTACAGTCAACTTTGACGTCAATGGATTAATAACGAACGCTATCAAGTGCAACTGGATTGCCGTGCATCTTGCACCAAGGCGCAATGTATCAACCGACCCGCATTGTCAAAATTCCAAAGGATGACATAGATTACCCACGAGGAAAATCGAGAGCGTCTTTGATATTAAGATACTTAAATTGCTAAACTGTTTGGAATCAAGTACCGCTTAGGATTTTACCATATAAATTTATTGCCATGCTCACTAATAAAACCACATCTATTAGAAAGCGTGAGGCTCAACCAAGTGTCCCACATAGCGTTCCGTTACGGAATCCTATCGTCTTCCGAAATACCAATTTGCTAGCACCTCTTTGTCATGCAAAAGTGAGCTGTGGATGTGCACCTTAGAACTGTTGTAGATGATCGGTGTCGCACAAATGGCCACACAAGACGAGTGTTTGATATTGATGAAAAAGCCAGCATACGTGCAGGCGACCGGAAGCCAGATCCCCGTGGGCCTTTACGAATGCATCGAGTCGACAATGTTAAAGGTATGATTTTGACTAGTTTTCGCTATTGAGACCGATCGAATGAGGCGTAGACACTAGGACTAATCATATCAGGCATAGGCGTGTGTCTTTGTGGGACCGCGTGTCTTTGTGGTTAACGTGTAGTGTGCATGTGGTATCCAGCTAAAACTCCTTGTATATTTTTCGCTTTCGCTTTTTTTTACCTATTTCAGCATCAATACGTTTTGAGCCCCGCAGCTACGGAGGCGACCCTCGTCCCCCCTCGCCCACGAAAAGTGCGAAGTGCTACAGTAAGAGAAAGTCGCGCCGGACCTTGGAGCATTCGTGAAGCTGATGACCAACCTCGCAGCCAATGTCTGCAGCTTGAAGCGCTCGCTTCGGATGCAGCAGCAGGGTCTACCTATTACGCCGGCCAGACATGAGGCCGGACTTGGTCAAAGCGTACACCATCAGGCATTAGAGTGCCGCCGGCCAAGAACGCGAGGATCTACATGCGCAACTTCGGCGGCAGTGAAGTCTGTGAGAGTCATGGGAGTGGTATCTAGCAGTGGGCACCGCTCTTCATCGAGCAGATCGAGATGGCGGAGCAGGCGTCTGGCTACGCCTGACCAGAACGGTACAAGGTGAACAAGTTCGGCTAGAATCTACGTGGTAAAGCTAAGCTCATCTACCAGCAACACATTATGCGCTGGTGGGCCACAAAGCCGACGTTTTGGTTCGTGATGGACCGAATGCACTTGTCTTTTAAGAGGACGCTCTAGACGCAGCAGGGAATGAAGCTGCTTGGAGCCAAGAAAGATCGCTGCAATCGCGGGATGAGCACTTGCTGTACTTAAATGCTCTCATGATGGCAACAAACGCGTCACCTACATTGGTACCTGAGAACATCGTCAAGCACGCGGACCGAGACTGAAGGCACGCTTTGATGTCCAAGTGTGGCATCACGCAACCACATACGCTTCAACAAGCAAAGGAGTAGGTGGTGTGGGCGCGGATGGTGTCTGCACGGCGATACCACAGCTGCAAGAAGGTTGAACACCTGAAGAAGAACTGCCCGGAGCGTTCCACTGGAAACGAAAATAGCTAGTGAGTAAAGTCAGCAGCACTTGCTGCCAGCAGCGATGCCCAGGCAGTGAACGCTTAGAGCTGGATTATGGACAGTGGTGCCAGCCGACATTTCGTCAGCGACTCCGCGCTGCTGACAAACGTAGTGGAGTGTTCTGTCAAGGGGACCTGCACATTGCCGGATTATATGTCATCGCCGACGCAAAATTGTAACAAGCAGGAATCTATACAACATTTGATCATTCGAAAATGCGAAAATTAGATGTTAATCGGCAATCCAAAGCACAAAATATCGCCACGACTAAACTATAAATAACTTGCGACCTTCATTTTAACACGAGGCTTAATCCCTTATTTTTTTTCCCAGCTGAAAATAATCAATTTATTTTCATAAGCTTTTAGAGTATTGTCGTAAAACGTAGCATTATGGAGCAGACCTTCGCAGACCAGCACCTCTTCATTACGGGCGGCACAGGTTTCTTAGCTAAAGTATGTTTTTTATATTATACTTCCACTTGTTCTCACAATGTACTTACCCTCACCACTATAGACTTTAATTGAAAAGCTATTGCGATGCACGCCAAACATTACCAAGGTACAATGTAACATTTAAGCGATATCAGCTATGCTCATTCTCAGTAACTGGTGCTTATATAATGTGTCACTATCCAGATATATGTATTAATTCGCCCTCGCAAGGGCGTAATACCAGCTGAGAGATTAAAGAAGGAGATCATTGGTAGTCGCGTCTTTGATCGCCTTCGAGCTGAGAAATCTGATAGTTTTGAAGCTTTTGCATGCGAGAAATTACAAGCAATTGCTGGTGATATCACGACACCTGACTTAGGTCTCAGTCCACAAGATGCACAATTATTGCAAGCTCAGGTGCAGATTTCTATTCACTCAGCAGCTACAGTTCAGTTTGATGAGCCTCTTGAAGTGGCTGTTGAAATGAATTGTTTGGGAGCTTTACATGTTGCAAAATTTGTACAAACATGTCGTAGAAATCGATGTCACTTGCATGTATCAACGGCTTATGTTAATAGTAATCGAAGAGATACAACAATTAGTGAGAAATTGTATCCTCTGGACTTCGAGGTACATGATGCTCTTAATGCTGTAATAACTGCATCTCCAAGCGAAATGGAACGATTACGAGTTAATCTCATGGGGACATATCCCAATACATATACACTTACCAAGTCAATGACGGAGCATTTACTCGTTCAAGAATTTACACTCCAATTTCCGCTGATCATTCACCGTCCAACCATCATTGGTGCAAGCTGGAAAGAGCCAATGCCAGGCTGGGTTGATCAAATTGCTGCAGCTGGCGCAGTCTTCTTGGCTGCTGGCTTGGGCGTCCTCACTATGCTCCCAGGAGATCCAAGAAATGTTGCTGATATTGTTCCTGTGGATTTGGCGGTGAACAGTATTCTTCTATCTATATGTGCTAAGCTTCATGAGCTCGTGAGCCCTCGAATACTGCACGAATCAACTCGATCTTCATCGACGGTTGCTGCATTAAATCAACCCATGATTGTTCATTGTGGCACATCCGATCCTCGACAAAACCCTCTTCGTTGGCGTATCCCGTGTATGCTGGTGCCGGAGTATTTTCGAAAGAATCCACCAGCACGTGGACTATTTCCGGCTAAATTTTCCATGATTCCAACTCATCAAAGCTTTCAGATTCAATGGTTTCTTAAATACGCACTTCCATCGTCCGTGTACTCGACTTTGGCTAACAAAAGTGGACATTCCGCTCACATTAAGAACGCCGCGAAGTTGTGGCAGCTTACCTGGCGTGCTCGTAATCTTGTCGAGATATTTAAACCATTCACTGAAAACCAATGGATTTTTACTGCTGACGTTGCCGAAACGACACTTCAATCATGGGCAACTTCGGATTTTTGGATTGATTCTCACGAAATTGCGTGGGAGCGCTATGTGTTGAATTACTGCGTTGGACTTAAAAAATTTATGCTGAAAGAGGACGTTATTGACGTTGATATTGAAGGGGTGAAACAAACCAAACTTGCATTAAGTACAGGACGTATCTTGGATTGGGATCCGGATCACCACGCAATTTCGTTTCCTAGACTTCTTTCGGATGTGGCTTGGGCTTACACGTCAAGTCGGAAGCCAGGATACACTAAATCTGGTCTCTTAGGTCGTGTCATGGGCCTCACTGGATGGAAAGAAGGTATGAATCACGAAGCTTCACATGTTCCTAGACCTCATGTGGAGTCCATTGGTGGTTTACGTAACAGTGTCCTTGAAGACAAAGTCGTTCGTGAAGCTATCAAAGAACGCGCAGTGGCTTCTGGAATCGATGTTGACGACGTTGAGCGTCAAGCTGCTTGCATACTTGACACTATGGCGGCACAGCTTGACTACAAAGCTGTGCGAAAGTTTGGATGGCTGCTTCGAAAAATATGCCGAAATATGTACGATCAGATTCATGTGGATGAAACTGGACTTACACGTATTCGTGATCTACTTGCTGAGCGACGTGGCAGTGTTGTCCTTGTACCAACTCATCGGTCTTATGTTGACTTTCTGTTGATGAGCTACGTATTTTTCGCTTATAATATTCCCGTTCCCTACGTCGCAGCTGGAGAAGATTTTCTTAACATGGGCAGTCTCACAAAATTACTTCGCGAGTCTGGCGCATTCTTTATTCGTCGATCATTTTCAAATGATTCGCTCTACTCTGCCGTCTTTCATGCCTACACGCAGTATTTAGTGGCAAGAGGACACACCGTTGAGTTTTTTATCGAAGGCTCTCGCAGTCGAAGCGGTAAGCAGCTACATCCAAAGTTTGGTATCCTGAATACTGTCGTAGACTGCTACCTATCGGACAAAGTCAAAAATGTAAGTTTTTTTGTAGCTGCACCTCAGTTTGATGTAACTTAACGCCTTGATGTCAATTTTCTAGCTCTTCATTGTTCCTGTGACGATTGACTACGAAAAGCCATTGGAAGTTCTTTTACATCAAAATGAACTTCTTGGCGAAGGAAAAGTTCGCGAGGTGAGAGGTTTATTGTGTCTGTGAATCACAAGATCGAATTTTAATGTGGTCTGAATACATATCTAGTCAATAAGCGCGCTGCTGAAGGCCATGCCGGTTGTACGTAAGAAATTTGGCTCGATCTCAGTTATGTTTGGTGTCCCTTTGGATGTGAAACAGTACGTGGATGCAGCACTTGTACTTGCTAAAGAGCAAGAGATGCTAGTACCTACACAAACTATTGTAGAAGATTTAGGCTACGTGATCACAGACGCATTGATCAAGAACGCCACGTGTGCGATGTCACATGTAGTAGCGGCTATATTGCTTGTATACCGCCATGGTATATCCAAGGAAGAGCTTGTGCGCCAGGCTGATTGGTTAAGACTGGAGGTTCTGCGTCGTGGCGGTCGTGTCGTGGGGACTCAAGGCCGTTCACCCACAATTGTCGTGGATTCTGCACTTAAGTTACTACACGAATTCATTACCAGGCGACGTAAAGACCTCGTAGAGCCTGCAATCACAAGTGTCAGTTCAATTTGCTAGATAACTCATCACTGACTTCTGACATGTTTCTATGTCTTTCAATGCTGTAGCGAGAGCAATACCCAAATATGATTGGCCTCGGATACTATCGCAACAAGCTATTGCACTGGTTTTATCTCGAAGGTGTCTTTGCTTGTGCTTATAATGCTTTGGAGGCTTGTAACTCTCCATCCAGTACTCATCCTGAATCAAGTCTTTCGAAAAGCTCGGGTGTAGATCGTCATGAGTTGTTTAGTGGTGCATTGTTCCTGCACGAGATGCTCATGATGGAGTTTGTTCGCAAAAATGATCCCAAAGCAGACCAAGAGCAGCTTCACGCGGCACTTGCACAACTGGAAACTCGCAAAGTGCTCGTTGCAATCACTTCATCGTCATCGACTCCACGTGTTGAAGCAGTAGATGGTGCGATGTTATCGCTGTTGAGTACATTGATCTGGCCGTTTATAGACAGCTACTGGGTTGCTGTGACCAGTTTGTTTGCGCTGCGTCCACAATGTGAAGTAAGTACCGAAGATTTGCTTAAGCGTCTGCAATGGCTTGCCGAAACGATGTATCACGAGAACCTCATCAGTTTTTATGAATCATGTTCACGTGAAACGCTTCAAAATGCGTTGGCATTGCTTGAAAGTTGGGGTGTGCTCTCCTCCCGCCGAACTTTAGACAAGCAGAATGACAAGCATGACAAAAAACAACCGGTAGATAAGCTACTGAGTTTGACACATCACTTTACTAAAGACGGTGAATTGCGACAACTTGCTCAACGCATCTCAAAATTCCGCAAGCTACCGTTAGGTGCACAGCTAGCTACGACGAGTGAAACGGAGATTCTGGCGCGTTTGCCGGCGCTTTCCCGCTTGTAGTTGAATGTAAATGTATTTGGGTTTATATCCTACGTGTATCAACACTTACTACCCTCTGTGTTAGAGGGACTATAACGTCATCTTACTTTCAAAAGCTATCTTTCTACTTATAGTCATTGTATACATGTACCCGGCGTACTCAATGCAAATTAAGGTGATCGCCGCTTGCGTATCTGCCGATTCATACCTCTGGAGCCGAATCATTTCCATATAAAATGCTTTCTCGACATCAACCAAGTTCTTTTGCTCGATAAATCTCCACTAGTTTGACGCCCCAACCTCGTAAAGTTCATCAATAAACTACTTTAGTTCCGCAATTCTCGATTGCTTTAAATTATCTACCATCTCATTTGCCTTTATTTCACCGAAAGCATCCGTCAGCGCCTGCATCATCGACGTCTCTTTACCAGGATTTCGTTTATTAAACTCCTGCAAGTATGCAGAGATAGTGCTCAGAGCTAGTTGGTTGTTTCCACAACTGAGGAACTGTGGGTCTATGTTGCGGTTGAAGTAAAGTAACACTTCAGATGGCAACCTGCCCTCATCCAGCCATATCGATTTCAATGTGTCCAACATTGATTTGCTTACCATAAAGTTCGCTTGTGTCGGAGAAGACAGTGTCTTGAGCATTGGCGGAAGCTCTAACATATTGCTCACGTCTGAACTTGTCGCGAGTTTGCTGTCTGTTTGAGCTCCTTCATTGAAAACAAGCGTAAGATATGCGGCCCATTTTCTCCATTTTGCAGTGGCGTAATAATTTGATACATTGATATCGAGTTCAAGCCACTCTCTGAGTATCTTGGGACCGAATTTATCAACGGGTACTTTATCAGATAGCGTTTTCACAAGTACCCGGGCAACATTACTCGTGGTGGGGTCTATGACTGCATCCAGAAACATCATGGCCAAATGTTGGACGCTGAAATGTTGTAGCATATTATTCACTATAGTCTCGGAAGGATCCGTACCATGTTCTCCACGACAAAGTTTAAAGATCCACATTTTCCACTGTAAAGTTGTCAAAAGGTTACCTTCCATCGTCTTGAGGCTGGAGATAAGATTTTCCGGACTTTGATTGTCGATGAAATGACTAATAGTGTCGATGTTGATCTTGTCAAGCTCTGCAGCAGGTGTTCTTAGAGTATGTTTCGCAAACGACAGAAACTCCTCTCCTAGAGTTCTCTCTTCATTGTCGACATCTTCCGAACTTTGGGTTCTGACAGCTCTTCGCACCAGAGCATTGTCGCGATCAGATGGGGACGATTGCACCACGAGTTGCCCTGCTGCCTCACCTTCAGCCTTCGGAAAAAGAGCTCCGGCCAAAAGTACCAATCTCAAGTATGAAAGGCGCATGATATGATACTGACTGTGCACGGGGCTGACAATTGTGAAATGAGGTAAAGCCATTGCTGGGACTTCGCACAAAACATTTATTTCTGTTGTTTGCTGTCTGATTCGAGTAGCGCATATACAGCTGAATTACAAAATATTGAGACATACTAAGATTTCCTATCCATTCATGTAGCAGGTACCTGATCACGTAATAAATGACCAGATCAGAAGAGGCTTATGATTTAGATACTTGCCTAGATCGTCAAAGGGCACATTTTGAATGATGCATATTTGGTGGGTATCATGCTTATTTGGTTGAGACAATACAAAGCTGATTCGTGCATCACCAATCTTAAGATGTCTCGTTTTCTAGACAAAGCGAGTGCGTGACAATTCTTTCGTGCGGGACATCCTGTGTAGATTTTTTAGAAGTCTGTTCTTATCGGATAAATGGTTCTTATTCTAGATAAAGCTGATTCAACATGTTCCGACTCTCTGAAGTGGTAGCGGCCATCGGCCATCTAAGAAGTTTTCACAATACTTTGTAAATTAGCTTTCTTCTTGTTCTTTTAAAAACCCTTTGACAACTATAATTGGCTATGCAGGCTCTGTGGATGCATTACTCGTTGCAGCGTGTATTGTCCGCAAGTCAGTCGCGCCAAGTATAAGTAAATTGAGAACCAGCATCCATACATCAAATGAGAAAGAGCAATCTGGAATCATACCCGGATGAGTTTTCGAGTCCATCCAGGTGCTACTTACGTGCCCAATAAAAATTATGTATTCTGTCGCTAGTACAAGCTGTAAGGCTTTAGAAAACTTGAAGCTCAGAAATTGTTCACTCCAGCACATCAAAAGAATACTTCAAGACTCGATGCAACTGATCCATTTGTCGTGACATGCCGTAAACATTGCGTGCTTTCAAAGCGCAACATAAAAACACGCCAAATCTACCAGCCTAAGCCTTTTATCTAGCAACGTTGGGAAACTCCATGGAGGCATTCGAAAAGGTGAAAATCATGTCACTTATTAATGCTGCACATGTCCAAAGTTTCAGTCTTATGGTCAAAATTTTGGGCTTCCAAAGATCCAGCAGTCTCATGGTCAAAAATTTGATTTGCATTGTTCAACGTCTCTGATTCTTCCTCCATTTTCGAAAACGAACTCTGCGTCGCTCACTAAGATAGGCGCACTTCTATATTAAAATTGTGTGCTTGAATGATCAAAACCAACAGTAAAGAAATCATAGAATTACTTTCTAGCCTGCTTCGGCTACGGACGCTTGAATGTAGAAGGTGCATGAATCTTTGAACAGAAAATTTCGCCTGATGAATACCTTGGATCTGCCGCAGCAGCCTCCGATTGATCCAAAGTAAAGGCTACCTAGCTGAAAGAGTTTCTGATAGCTGTGCCCGTTTTTTCTTGGGTTCGGTACAATCGTCCTTGAGTCTGGCATCTTTCAGCGATTTTCAGGTAAATCATGCTGTCTTAGAAATGATCGGCGTTAAAAGTGCAAGACAGCGTGATCGCCGGCATGCCAGCTAGAAAGATCTGTTAGAAAGGTTCTTAAGAAAAGAATATGCCTATCTATTAATCGTCAAAGTATGATAAAGGTGCCGTTTGTTTTTTCAGGTGCCGACTTTAAACTATTCATGACCGTAGAATCATTAGAAACTGCTATTTCGCCAACATTGTAGTAACGCATCTGTCACTTACTCTTCGCCGGAACTCCAATTTCATCGTCCATTGGGTCTTGCATCATGTCAACATATTTTAATATAACTTAGATAAAGTAACAAACTATTATGCTAGCATTTGCTATGCGATCTCTGAGCAACACTTGTCCATTATCAAAGTCAATGTTGACAGCATACATATATATTCCTATTTATTGCGTATGACCTAAGGCTTTCCCTATCGGCTTACTTGAACCTTCATCATTTTCATACAGTTCTAAATATTGGCAAGAATCATGATGGGCATGAAGGAACAGACAGTCTAGAAGAAAAATCACGAAACTTCATTGAATTGCGCCCCATGATGTCCAGATTGCGTAAATACTGAGTAAGACAATAGTTAAGATTTGCTATCCTGAGCGTCAGAATACGTCACTGACAATGACATTGCTGTCAGCCCGCCAAAGAAATTATCGTGTCACATGGTTCGAATCAGCATTTTTAGAACATGTAGGAGCCTGAAACAACTAGTATATACTTGTTTGCCCCCGATGTGTCAAGTTGTCGTCTCATAGAAGGATATCTTACATAAAATAGTTCTTTGCATTTATAATTCTGAGATCTGTCATTCCCAGCCCTCCAACTAGACAATTTCCGCCTTGCTTCCACTTCGATACTGCACCAGCTTTCCCGTTTGAAATAGTATTCGAGACCAGCATACCAGCATCAAACAGCACACACCCGATACAACCTCCAGCAGCTGTAGAACTTTGACTATTGAGACTAAAGTGCAGTAAGGTGCATCAGATTTCAGCAACTTTTGGAACTCCCTCCGATGCTTCCAATACGGTGAACGACGTACGTCATGGTCGTATCTTGTAAGCGCCAACAAGTACTCTCCGCACCACTGCAGCTCTTCGAAGCTTAGCACAGCCACCGCTGCCAGCACCTCGGCATTATATTTGGTCCCAAATCTCCTTTGCAATGCTATTTCTTCAAAGGTTACATTTGCACAAAGACTGCAGAGCTTCATTTTGCTCTGATAATCCCAAAACGGCACATTGTCCTGAAAGCCCTCGCAGCTGGATGCAATCCGTCTTCCCGGGGTGCGGTCAGAATCGACAGGCCAACTTTGAAGCGGAAAAATCTGTCGCGCCTCTGCCATACTGCCAAGCTCGCACACTTGCAGACCTTTAGCATGACAAAAGACGTCGTTTATTTGCTGCTCAAATAATCTCTCGTGATCTGCGTAAATGCTGGTCTTCCATGGGGTATCAAGTCCTCGCTCAGATGCTACAGACATCAGTAACGCTGCATCGGCTACAGCTATAACTGCAAGTGCAATGGCCAAAACTTTTACAGTTCTCAGCGCATAAAGGTCGGATAGCTTTAACCATAAGGAAAATAAAAGAGCGCCTCCAATAGCTACCGATAGCACGCTGAGTGCGAGAGCGCTTTTGTCGAACACCGTCAGGGCTCGTAAAGATTGCATCTTATCCTGGGATACATCTAACGCATAGCCAAGTTCTAGCAAAGGCATCGCACCGAGAGAAGTAAGAGTCAAGCCACATAGCACTAATGGCAGCGCTTGGTGCTTACTTTTCTTCATTAAGAAAAATGAAAAAAGCTGCTGACAAATTACAGAATTAAGGTATTACACTTTAATCTCACCATAAACTGGCGAGATTTTGATAAAACCGAAAACGTTACGCTGTTAAATCCTCCCTTTGGTTTAACTTGAAAGTAACATGTAGCGTACAAGGAATAAATATATCTAACTCCCTAAGATTTTATTCGAAAGATTTGGACTATCCCTCTACGTCGTCAATAGCTACGAACATGTGAAGACTTTATTAAGATTAAAGTAGAAATTCCAATATGAAAGCAAGAGAGTTAAGCAAGTGTAGCAAGTATAAGTTCAGCAACGTCACACTGTCAACAGATGTATAGCCAGAAGCAAAGTTGTGCTTACACTGCGATATTTAAGGATGCACTACTCATAAACAATCTATTTAGCTTACATTGATTACACTCACAAAAATAATAAGCACATATTTGGTATCGAATCCGAACATTCACGCTATTAAGACTCACTTTCTCTTCTATTATATGATTAAGTAACTCTCACTATCCAGTCCAAATATATGCTATTGATACTATAAGACGCGTGATGGATCAAACAAGAGCATTTTATAGCAAGCCCCATGGTAGGGCATTGTCCGATTGGATTCTCAATAAATATATTGTGCTGTTGCAAGCATTCTGGAGGTAGTCGACCTACGCTACTACCCGTTGAAATTCATTCATGCTGTGTTTGATGCAAATGTACATTGCCCATTTGCTAGCGCATTAACCATCATGGGACCACCCATTAAGTGTGTGACAATGATCGTGTCCGCTATGATCCTTGATGACAAGCTGCTTGTATTTGAGAGTTGCACACCTTCTGCTGCAAAGTAGCATCTGTCTAATGGTTGTCGACGGTGTATAGTTGAGCATACCACAAAGAGGAGCAGTACGGAGCGCTATTGGAAAGATCTCCAAGGTAACTCGACTGTGTTTGAAGCCTAGCCTTTTCTGTGTTTTTACAAGGACCGTGGAAAAAGACACAGGGGTGTGAAATCGAGTTATACTTACGTGATGAAGACGCCAGTGTTGTGGCAGATGTAGCCTTCAAATTATGCCAAATTCCAAGACGGGGTGGACTGATCAGTCAGAAACGAAGGCGCCATTTTCGACACCGAATGGGGCATAGCACTGCATTTTCTCTTAGCGTGATGATGACAGGTGCACCAAGTTGTGAACAATAGCCGAATATTGAACCCCTAGCGTCATCTCGAAGAGATTTTCATTGGCACACGTGATTGCGTCATTGCCAGCAACGGCACTTGAAACCTTAGTGGTATTAATAAGTGCAAAGATGATGTGGTTCTGATGTGGAAGTAAGATTGATGGTAGACACTGAGCAGCGAAAATTCTTCCGTTTCCTGCGTCGGATATCACGGAATAGGTTATATCATTTACCAGTATGAACGTCTAATCGGTGGTGCCGTCGATGAAGGTGACGTAACCATCGTAGATAGCTGAGATGTCGCCAGAGGTAATTTACGACATACAGGGTATAAAGCGTTGGTGTATCTCGCCCTCTTCTTCTTCCCATTCTGGAATAGGAAAATACGACTCGTAGTCGACTTCCTCCGAATCCTCGACGAGTGATCCGTCGCCCGTGGCAGGCGCGTTGGGCGGCGCCCGGTTGCCGAGGGCTTGGGATGCGCTTTTCTTGAAGCCTCTAAGCTATTGGTGACTGGAATGTCGTTAATCTGGAATATAAGGCGAATAAGTTCGGTAAAGGTGCAAGCACGATTTCGTCACAGAACAAATTTGAAGCGAACAATGAAAATAAGCACTTTCTTTTTGCGGGATAATTTTTGAATGTTCTTTTTGTCGTCGTGATTCATAAAAATATTATTATCTTGCAGTCATCACTCCAATAATTAAACTGCATACTTCTTCAAAAAAGTTTGTTGATGGCGCAAACATGCTGGACAATGTGTTTAGACGAAAAAAAACGTCGGAGTCATCCGACATAACATGACAATTTTTTTTCAATTTCTGTTTGTCAGTGTTACGTATTCATCACTGATATCTGTGCCATAACCGTGGATGTATCTGGAAAAGCAAATATTCTACTTCAAACAGTGAGGTAAGAATGACGATGTAAATCCACATACGGGCTTGCATACGGCAAGTAAACATCAAAATATTTCTTGTGTCTTAAATTTTGAGCGCTGCTTCCTATAAACATTCCAAGAGGGCAAAACACGTAACAGAGTCTCGATCAGACATGGCTAGGTAAAGATCACACGTGATCTTATATGTCCAATAAATAGGCAAACGACACTGTTCTTGTAATGGGGAAACTACTGTTATCTTGTGCACTTGAAAGTTACTTTACTAGATACAACTCAGTACAATTGTTCGGAGTTATTACACTTAATGTATATGTACATATTCACGAATAACGGAATATCGGTATTTATGAAGATGGTGGAACTCCGAAAAGGAGAGTCTATGTTAAATCTAGGCTGCTAGCCGCACATTTGAAATCAAAGATAATATTATTATGCGAGATGATCTAACGCATATATCAACTAATCTTTTAAGTTCATTAATTTTATATAAATATACATGGACTTAAAAAATCAGAGCAATCTAGGCAACTCAGCACGGTGGATGCTCTCAGTTCCGCTCACGAACTGAACCTCTGTGTGTTTGTCACTTGCTTAGACTCTTCAAATCTATGCATAGTGCTCTGCAATCCCATCGCTAGGTAGTCTTGTCGTAAATCCCACGATCGAATCATGAATCGACAGTTTGGTCTTTGTGAGCTTTACATGAAATGTTAGTGTGCCTTTTCCCGGGACAAATAGAGCAACCAAATAGGCTTATGTCTACAGTGGGTTACAATCAAATCGAAAACTGGTGGCCAAACGCTAGGAGTGAAAATCAATCGCCTGACAGCACTCGTTACGTTCTTAAGAACAACCTTAGACATTCTCCGTTCAATGACCCCTGTGTCCATGACACGCAAACACCCAGCCTCGCTGGTTCCGAGGGCGTCAGCGTGCAAAGCCCTTCTTTTGCACAGGGTGCATCTCCAGACAGAACGTCAGTGGTTTTACGGGGAGCACATCCCAAGCCCTCGGCAACCGAGTGCAACACACCGCGCCCGCCCCGGGCAACGAATTCCCTCGTCGGGGAGCTGAAGAATGTCGACTACGAGCTCCTGTCCCAGGATGGAAGACGAGGAGGATGAGGTGCGCCATCGGCGCGACGTGAGCCTAGCACTTTGCGGACACCGCGGCAGTTTCCCGACCTCTCGACTTCCTGGGGAAGTAGTTTTGTTACCAATCGCCTCAACAAGGCACAGAAGCCGCAATTGGTGGCTGCCCACAGAACGGCTCTCATACGCTCGTATCCACGTTCGGTCCTAGAGCCTCGTGTGAAGTACGGCTTCCGCTTGGCTTTGAAGATCGTCGACCAAACCTCCCAGTTAAGCGTGGGTCTTTATCAGAGACAATCGACTCCGGGAGTTCATGTTGTCAAAAGACACGATCCACAAACAGCGTCGCTGTGTCCGCAACGTCATGCTGTCCGGCACTGCCGCAAGATGAGCCATCTTGTTCAAGCGGTCCACAAAGACCCACACCCGTGCTACCCGCCGAGTCCTTCGGCAGTCCAATCACAAATTCCATCCTCATGGCCTACCAACACCCGGAGGATACCGGTAAACTGGCCAGCGGCGCCACCGCATTTGGAGAGGATTTCACCCTCCGACACATTTCACACGTACGCACATATATACTTGTCCATTTGTACAGCTTGGGCCACAAATAGTGGTAACTCACTGAGCTGTAAGTCTTCTCACGACCGAGATGGCCACTAAGTGAGATGTCGTGGGCCCCATAAAGGATATGGTATTTTAAATCCTCATCATGAGGAACCACAATTCGTGGAGTATCAGTCAAATCGGTGCTAAAATACAGCAAGCCGTTATTCACCGAATATTGGTGTAACCGTGCGCGCAATCGCGCCGACAATTCCTTGTCCGAGTTTCTAAACTCCTTACACCCGAGAGAATGTAGCAGCGCTACACACATACCATCATTCGCGTATGCGGCGTGGATCAAGTCCGTCACTGACGACGCCCCCGTGGTGACATGAGCAAGTTCATAGACCGGTCTACGTGACGACACATCAGTCAAAGCATTCTGCTTTCCTGGCTTATACTTCACCTCGAAGTTATATTCTACAAAGAATGAGAGCCACCTGGCCATCCTCTGCGAGAGTTGAGGCGACTGAGTCGCAGTGCGTAGCGACGCATGATCTGTGTAGATCACAAACCGCTTTGAGCCAAGCAGGTGTGCCCTTAACTTGACAAGTGCATATTTCATCGCAAGTAATTTCTTGTCATGGACTAGGTAGTTTCTCTCCACGGCCTTAAGCCGGTGAGATTTGAACGCGATCATCCGATCGCACCCCTCAGCGTCTACTTGCAGCAGTGCACAACCGATGGTAAAGTCCGAAGCGTCACAGACGACACTAAAAGGGCGATCAGGGTCTACCAACACCAGTATTGGTGCAGGAAGGACATAGACGACAATAATAGGACGATCGGGGTCGGGCAACGCCAGTATTGGTGCATGAAGCAGGTTGTCTTTGACCCTGTCAAAACCTCCCGATGCTCGGTGTCACAACACCATTCCGCATCCTTTCTTAGGAGATTAGACAATGGCCGTGCCATTTCCACATTCTTCGCGCTATAATTGTGCAAGTAGTTGGCGATGCTGAGCCACTTACGCAAGTACTTCTGGTTCTTTGGAGCTGGCCAGTCTACAAGGGCCTTGATGTTAGCAAGATCCGCTTGGAGGCCACGCTTCCCAATGAAGGACCCTAGAAAGGGATTTCTTCGGCGCCGAAGATGCACATATCGGCATTAGCATACCGCTTATTCGTGCACATGTACTCGAGCACCGCTCTCAGATGGACGATGTGGTTTTTCTCATCTGTCTTCCCGTGCCCCGCACGACTGTGGACGAAGATGTCATCAAAGTATGTCTGTGCATACGCCCTGTGGAGCCTGAACAACCGCGTCACAA